ACTGTGTGTGTGTGTGTGTGTGTGTGTGTGTGTGTGTGTGTGTGTGTGTGCGCGCGCGTGTGCGATGTATAGGCCTATGTCATTCTGGATGAGAGTGTAAGCTGGCGTGTGCATTGTGTATGCATACGTGAATGAAGGCGTCTTTGTATAATTATTGTGTATTCGCGGTGATTGTGCGTGAGTGTGTGAGTGCGTGTGTGCTTGCATACGTGCTTGTATGCATATGTCTGTGTGTGTGTTTGTGTGTGTGTGTGTGTGTGTGTGTGTGTCGGTGTGTGTATGTGTGTGACTGTGTATGTGTGTGCGCGTACGTTTGCATGCATGTGTTATTGTGTGCACACTGCAGTGTTTGAAACGGTCTGTGTGCATGTCGCCTCTTGTATTTTAAAGCACGAAAAAGAGAGTGAAAGAGGCAGAATTTTAATCGAGAGCCTCGGTTTTTCTGCTGTGATGTCGTATCCCCTTCAGCCTGGGTTGGCTCCGATAGGCTGGGTTGAAGCCGGCCTCCTAAATTCTGATCTAAAGTGTGTCAATGGGGGCGTAAAGACTCTATAATTAAACATTTAAAAGAACACATTGTGTACACATAATGACGCTTGTCACTAGCAAGTTATCTGCTTGACTTCTTGATGAAGAAATAATAGTAGTTGTAAAACGCATAGAGCATGCCACTGAGCGTAGATATGCACTATATAAATGAAGATTTTATAACTGTTATTCATAACGACTATTCAATTTTAAAAAATGATGTGCTCTTTATGGGCAAAAAATATGAAGTTCTCGTATATTATGTGATCTCTCTTGAGGAGAAACGCTGGGAAGAAAGGCTTCAACAATTAGACATGAAGTGATAAAGTTATACACAGTTATCCTAAGCTTGTTTCAATCTGTCTGAGCTTGCATGAAGCCATTACCCTCGACACCTCTATCACCCGGAGTTCGTTAGTCTTGTTTGATCTGTCGTCACCGTTCCTTACTTGAATACAGTTTCATACAACTGTCACTTAAGATTTTGGATCGACTGATGAAAATATACCTTCGAGGTTATTTTGGTATACGACTTCGGAGGTTTTTAACTGTAACTAACAAATTAAATAGCAATATTAATTGACTAGACGGTTCAAAACCATTCACGTTCCTTCACTTTGGAGCGAGACTCGACAGAGACTGGAAGCTATCAGTCCAGCTGGTAAAAAGCCAGCCCTGTAGAGGGCACATGCTCACAGTAAACAACACACACAAAATTATTTAAAATAGTGTTTTTACGCCTCCATCCAGACAATTTAGATCGTTTAGGAGACAGGCTTCGATCTTTTCTGCCAGGGACAAACCAGGATGATGGGGTTACAATATGCCAACAGAAAGATCCGAGATACTCGATACAAATTCTCCCCACGCGGGAATCGAACGTGGGTCTCCTGCATGGGACGGCAAAGCACCTCACCATTGATTTACGCACAAAAGCTGGTTCATCAAAATATACAGATAAAAAAAAAGAGAAACAAAGAAACGAGATAAATATTTCAAGTCCGTGCAGCACTTCTTCCTATTGGCCCATTGAAGCTGACGATTTCCTCTCATTTTCCCGCCCTGGTGTCGTTCTCTGTGTACCAGTCGTTCCCTAGTTACACGAAGTGTTTGCCATACAAGATGTCCCGTTATGCGGGCATAGTTCCGTCATACGCGACTAGTTTATGAATCAATGAAGGGACGGGGGAGTCTGATTGTCTATTTATGGACCACTGAACAGGACCGCTCAGCCGTAACGTAACCACCGCCGCTACCACTGCAACCACCTAAACTACCACCTCATCAATAATTCCTCTACAACCTTTCGAGAACACTTCTTGAATCTTTTCCTTTGAAAGGCGTTACCGCCCTTCCCGTCAGATTTACGTGTCGCCCCTGACAACGAGACGCGGCGGGGCATGCTGGGACGTGGGTATATATACCAGGGTAGTGTGGCGGTGCGGAGATCTCCAGCACTTTCCTTGTCGCTCGCCGAGTCATTTCCCTTGTCAGTTTCTCTCACACCACACCAACATACATCATGCGTGAGATTGTCCATCTTCAGGCCGGACAGTGCGGCAACCAGATTGGTGCCAAGGTAAGCATCATCATCATCATGTAGTCGTTGAAAAGTAGAGCAAAAGTAAAAGTGAAAGTATAGCGATTGGTAATTTATTATCAGTTTGATTTTAAGGCCTAGTTATATAAATGTCCAATTCAAGTGCCGCCAAATTATTGCTTCATCACGAACATGACAGGTAAGTATTATTTCGGTGATTGTGTACTAAATTACCACGTTTTTAAAAATGAACTTAAGACTTTGTAATAGTTGAGTGCAGAGCTTCACTGTGTCAAAACGGTAAGTGTGTGGTTATTTAAATCGGCGAGAAATACTGTGTGCAAGCAGCATTATACTTGCACGTGAAACGGAATGGAGAAACAATGCTTTCTTAGAGGAAAATTTTGTTTTTCAAGTACAAATATTTTTAATGTTCCGATTATCAGGTCTTTTCCCCTGGATTAAATACGGTACGTGGCGTAACGTATCATCCAAAGGAAAACATCAACTATTTCAGTGGGACATACCAGCATGTATGATCCTAGACCCCATGAATAAAACCCTCACCAACATTACAATCTATGATAGTTCGTAACAGAATTGCACTATTATAGAAAGTCACCCACATACCCACAGAACTGACGTAACCTATGCATCTTACGTCACACACCAGTCCAGTGATTCATATCTGTTTGTGTAATAAGAGAAACTCATCGACAGGGTGACATTCGTTTAGTGCAGTGGAAAAGCAAACAAAGAAGAAACTTTTTTGTGTGCGAATCGAAACATTCCGAGCTATCTCAACAATTCCTAACACAAGCATAAAGAACCCTGAAATCTTGCAATAAAAGAAGAGGGGGGGGCAAGACCTGTAAAAGTTGTCTTTTATGCCTCAGCTCATTTGGTAATGCGGCATTCGAAGAGGCCTGAAAATTATAGGCCTTTAGGTCACAGCTGGAAGCACCCTGTTACACATAAAGCCGTCAAGGCAGACACCACACTTAAGAGATTGCGCAGAGCGTAGGGCAAACGTAGAAGAACAATCTTTGTCTGTGTCAGTCTGTCCGTCTGTCTACCTCTATCTCTTTATCTTTTTCTACCTGTCTCTCTATCTGCCCCCCCCCTCTCTCGCTCTCTCTCTCTCTCTCTCTCTCTCTCTCTCTCTCTCTCTCTCTCTCTCTC